GTGGGATAAATATTTTTTTCGTAATTTTCTGGTTTGTTTGCCAAATGAGGAAAAAATGGCTTATCCTCAACTTCAAGGCCAAATGTAGGGACCAATGATGCCAAAGAAGTTGGAATTAAATTAAAAGAGTCTCTGAAGATAATATTTGGATTAACTTTCGCTCTTCTTTTCACTTTCATTTCGTACATTTTATTTCCTCTTCTTATCATCTCAGGATTAATCCTTTCCAAAAATATCTCTCTGAAGACTAAAACCATATCAAATCTTCCCCCAAAATGAGAATATGCTACTGTGTCATATTCTATTGGTAGTTCATACAATATCCATTTTACAAAAGCTGTCAATGGCTGATTATTTATAACTTTTTTGTCCACAATGGTACCATTAAAATTCCTCTGAGAAAAGGTGATTGTTCGGTGGGGACCACAGACTTTGCATGGTTTTTCTAACAGGCTTTGATTCCAGATTTCATTGTAAATACACTGAGCACATGTGATTTTCGCACAAATAAAATTAGCAATATGTTTTCTATTTTTAGACGATGAATCAATATATTCGTGCTGCATTGTTTCTAGATCAAAAGCTACGATTCTATAGGGCTTTTGATCTCTTGGTTGTAGCTGTTTGATAAAACATCCTTTCTTAGCATCGTGATATTTGAAGCACGTGTTACAAAACCTTTCAAAACAAACATGACCTTCTCTGCCATTTCTTGTATTGTCCTCAACATCCCAGATGACTCCACAAAGCTCACACTGTTTAGATTTTTGACAAAATCGATGGTTTTTGTGATATTGAAAACATTCTTTATTATTAAACAATTTGTTGCAATAGTTACAATATTTCCTAAAATTCTGTTGTGGTTCACATGGAAAAAGAGGTCCAACTCTAGAACATTTGATACATCTCGATTTACATATATTTAAATGTCTATCAGCCCGATCATATGGTATTTCACAAGTTAAACAATAATGTGTTCCAAATAAACTTGATCCTTTGCGTACACCATCAAAATGATTATTGTTGAAATAAATTAAAATTGGTGTATCATAATCATCAGGTCCACATTTATATATCGGTTTGTAATGACCAATAGAGCCAAAAATGAAAACCTTTAGACGAAATTTTCCAACAAACAAAGCATTATTCCAATATTCAATTACTAGAGGGACCCATGTATCTGCTTCATACCCATTTAATCCTAAGGGGGCATTTACTTTCTTCATTAATTCATGGGCTTCATTTTGAAGTTTTCCACGTGAAGCACGTCTTCCATACAAAAAATCATAAAATTGTGAACGAGTATATCCTCGAGTAGAATAAACAACTGTTGCTTGAAGAGCATAGAAAAGACAGTGATTATCAGGATTCATTATTCGTATCAGACTTCGATCTTTAATCTGGTGATGAATAGGGGCAAGTCTTCTTGGAGGAGCACCACCTATAATATTTCTTTTATCGGGAAGGCTTTTCCTATCAGCCGTTGTTACAATTACATTAAAAGGATTTCCCCATAGAGTTATATCATTTTGCTTCTTACTTTGCGCAACTTTCAAAAAGCTGTTCAAAATTGTATCGACTGTGTTCGATGATATTTCACGAATCGGAACCCAGATGTCCGATTCTAAAAGTTCACTGGTGATCAGACAGCCAAGGTGATCAGGGTTAATTCCATTTTCCTTACTATAATCAATTGACTCATCTATACAATATTGAAAAAGCTTTGCAAGCAGATCTTCCGGGTCAACTGGTAGATTTTTTATTGAAAACTTTGACTTGATTTTAATGTATTTGAATTTTTTATTATTCTCAACGGCATTTTCAAGTTTCGATACATAATTATTTAAATTTATATTTCCTGCTCCAACTTGATGAAATGATTCGGGAATTAAATTTTCAATAAAGAATCTAGGTTTTTTGCAAGGAACGGCTTCCATTTTTATTATTTTTATAAATAAATTATCGATGTTTTTTGTTTGAATTTTAAGAAATACTAATGAAATAAATATTTAACAAATTTTATATTTTCTAATTTTTGGTCTTTTTATAAAATGATTTACGAGATACCGAAGAAATATTTTATACCGTTTGTTACTTTTGTTTTTATTAAATAATCTTTAATTAAGAAATGTCTACAAGCTTTAATTTTTTACTTTTAGTTTATGAAATGCGACAACTGTTGTTATAAAATAATCTTTAGTCAAAAAAACCCAACATTTTTACTTTACTAATTATTTATTTTTTATAAAAACCAAAATTCCAAAATAAAATGATATCAAAAAGATTACCAACAAATTTTAAATGATTTATTACAAATTTATATTAAATTTCAGTTTTTAATTATTAATTTTACAAATTTTTGAACAAATAAATCATTGTCATTAATCAAATCCATCATTCTTAAAAATTGGTCAAATTTTATTCCTGTAGAAAGATAATAGATAAAACATATGGTATGTAATGCACAAGTTTTGCTTAAAGGTGATTGATAGGGTCTCAAATTTTTAATTGTTTTTTGAAAGTGTTTAAGAAATGAATTTAGAATACAATTACTCATAGGTAAAGCAAGACTATCATAATAAATTACAGGATGATATCTCTTTTCAATGTATAATCCTATCCAATGTGATCCCTTTAGTTCGTGCGAGTCTAAGTTTACAACAAATGACGCAGGATATTTTATATCATCTGCTTTCGGTAAAAGATCACAAGGAAGACACCCTTTAAATGTTCTCTTTGTTTGATAATTTGTATTCAAAATTTGATTTATTTGTTTTGAATTCATCCAAATTTAATTTTTCTTTCGTGTTTCGTCGACTTAGTGGGAGTTTAGTTTTAAACCAAAAAATTGATCTAATTTGATAAACAATTAAACTAAGTACTATTAATGTATAAAGAATAAGAATGATCCAGCAATATATCGATGAGGCGAAGTTTTGTGGGGTTTCTTTACATAATTGAATACTAGGAAATTGAGGCTGATTAGCCATCAATTTAGGGTGAGATAAATTCCTCAAATACTCTGAATATTCTGGTAATTCAACATCAGCTTGAATATAGAAATAATAATTAAACAGAAGGAAAATTAAGAAAAAATATTTATGCATTTTAAAATGAAAAATATATAAATGAATGAATATAATAATTAGATTGTAGTATCACTAGTAATTGTCCTATTCCTATCTAACATAATTAATGAATCCGCTTCTCCCATCACAATCAACATAATACCTCCATCGGGAACCGGGCTACTAAATTTAATATTTACAGCCGTTGTACCATTTTTAATAAGATCAAAAAGTCCGCTTTGATCATCTCCACTATTTGTTAAATTAAAAACATAGATACAATGCGCATAAGCGTATTGTTCGAAAGTAATACCATTACCTTCCATAGTGTTTGAAAATCCAATTGCTTCATTCATATCATTAAAAGGGCGTGCAAATTTTCCAAGAGGAAAATCAAGGTCATAAGCTGCCTGGGGATATGATCTACCGTTTGCTACAATACTTATTTCTCGAACATGAAAATGTTGAAAATTAAAAGGGCTTCTTGTTATATTTCCTACATAATCACTATTAGCAACAAGTCCAAGTATAATTCTTCTGGGAACTTGATCCATAAAAAGATTAGCATTAAATTCATAACGTCCTTGACTAATAAAGAGTGATTTCATAAGTGATTTTCTTAATGCATAACGGGCTGGTTTCATTTCCAATTTACGAGCAATATCAAGTGCAAGCCCATCCATTAAATCGACTTTTTTTACATAAAGTTTGCAATTTAGTACCTCAAATTTATATCGAGTAGCCTGTTGTTGTGGAGGTGTGATAAGTAAAAATCGGGTATCATTAGGCAAAATTTCTATATCAACTTCACATTGATTTATCAAGTAAAGGGGTTGGTTAAATAAATCTGCATCAATCTTTGCCATAAACTGCGCTGTTTTACTTTCAGAAAACCTAACTCTTCTTGAATCATATCCTGGTCCAGACTCTAAACTTAATCCATTGTCACCATAATAACCAGAAACTGATAAATGTGAATTTTTTGCATGCATAGGAAAGGTTAATTCATGAGAAAAGTAGGATTTATATGCCATTAAAGAGTTTGAATTAAAAACTTCACGGCCATTTATAGTAATTCTCATATTATTCATAAAAGTATGACCGATCATTTGTATAGGTGATACATTATCCGTTGGATGTAAATTTATGTATAATCCATGCTCATTTTCTTTCCGGATTCTAAACTCGGTTAATAGATAACATTTCGTAAGATCAATGTAATTATTGCTTGAGTGAATTTTAAAGTGATATGGTGTGTCTGTAAGAGGGTTACTAGGTAGAATTTCAAAAATCTTAGTTGAGGATATGCTAACATTTGTTGGGGGAACTTGGAAAAAGTCTATCGCATTTGTAATTGAATTAATACTATCGCCATCAATTTTGTGAAAAGCCATTTTTTATTAATAAAGTCCAAATGCGTCTGATCTAAGTTTCTTTTTAAATGGTTTACCAATTAATGTTTGATGTGAAGAAAATGACGATTTTCGTTTTCCTTTTATACGTTTCGTCCCGGAACCAAACTGTTTTGACATTCCCCCTTTCTCCAATAACAAGTCTATCCCCTTTTTTCCTTCACTTTTTAGTGCACTTTTAATTGGTTCTCCTTCATTTACACGTTCAAGTATCCTTTGGCCTGTATTTAACGCTTCAGATGTAACTGTTGTCCCAACACGTCGGGCTATGGGAAGAAAAAAGCGCCAAAGTCCACGAAGGATATCGCCTATTCCAGCCCCTGTTTGTAATCCATACCCTCTTTGAAAAGGCGCTAGGCCTCTATAAAAATTATAAGTATTTTCTGATTCAATTCCGGTACCCGTCTGAATAAAATCATCATAGCCAACTTTCGTAGTATCAAATAAAATATGAACCATTATTTTTTAAAAATTTATTTAAAATGAAATGATTTAAAAATAAAATGTGGTTTTATATTGATCAAAATTTTAAAACTTTTTTAAAAATCAAAACAACTAAAACTATTCCATATGAAAAAGGTATAAGACGTCCGTTATCTAATGTTCTTAACTCAATTTCTATTTCATTGATCTCTCTAGGAAGAACACGAGCGTAGATAGGAGTGTCATAAATCTTTTCATTATATTCCCCAGGCGTTGCTCCTGAAACTGAGACGACACGAAGAAGCGAACTTAATGAATTACCAATTATCATATTTTCAGTCAACCCTTTAGCATAAACCGCAAAACTTGAAAATCCTCCCTTTAGATCACATCCATACTTGGCAATTTCATTATTTTGTACAAAATGAGGGTTCTCAAATCCTAGTACATATCCGAGCTGAGGAGATAATGAGATATAATTTATGCTAGGATGATCAAAAACAATTTTAAATCGTCCAAAATTTGAGTTATATTGAAATTTGATAGATTTAATAACTTGTTCTTGAATTGATAAATCAATTTGACTGGGATTTGATTTTTCATATGTAGAAATAAGTTTCGGCATATTTGAACTGTATTTTTGACGTTCATTAGGTGTAGGTGTATGTCCTAAGATAAATGTTAGGACCTTTTCCATCTTTTCAGTCCATGTAATATCTTTAAATAATTCAAAGGAAATATTTGTTTCTTTTCTTTCTTCTAAAGTGTCCGACGAAAGTTGTCGAGGAGGGGTATCAATTTTCTTTTTCTTTCTTATAGGTGAGTCTTGGTCTAATACTATTTGATCCGGTGGTGGTGGTGTTAAAGCTTTTACAGGTGTCAAAACACGAGGAGGTGATTGTTCATTAGACTTTAGTGAGAGAATTGGATTATCCTTTAACGTTTCTATCCGAGGAGTCGATGGTTGAGGGGGCAATTTTTCAGAAGGTTTTGGTGAAAGAGTTGTCTCATCATTTACAGTTTTTACTATTGGTGATAAAACTCGAGGTGAAGATTTTTCGGAAGATTTTAGCAGTGGGGGTGAAGAAACTGGTTCGACGTTTTTATTTTCAGATGGAAAATATAAAGGCGGTGATTTAAGCACTGTATCTCTTTTTTTCCTATTGTTTCTTGGAGGAGACTGAATAGAACCTTTCGATGCAAAAATCAACTCCTCATTTACCTTTTCTAACTTTGGAGATAAACTTCGAAGTGGTGATTTTTCAGGAGATATTTTTGGTGGCGAAACTGGTTCACAATTTTCACCTGGAAAATATAAAGGCGGTGATTTAAGCTCTACATCTCTTTCTTTCCTATTTTTTCTTGGGGGAGACTGAATATTTTCTTTTCCTAAACCCTTTGGCGCAAAGATCAAATCAGGTTCTTTACTTTGTTGTTCCAAGTTCGCATTAAGAAAATCTCGTAATGCTTCTGTAGTATTATGTGAAGCTTTGGGTACAGGAATTTTTAAAACATGTTTATTTATATCTGAATCTATTATATGAATTTTTATCCATTGATCATCTAATGTTCCAATTGTAGATGGCCAAGAATAAGGATACGAAATACTATGTAGTCCACAAACCCAATCGCCATTAAAGAAAATCGATTTAGGTAAATGGACACGAAAACTATTTGGCTGATTTTCAGGATAATCTGAAACGTTACTAGGTAAAAATACAAAAAAAGAATTTGACATTTTATTTTTGAATAAAAATGATACAATAAAAAAAGGTTAACACTATTTATACTAACTCTGTTTCAGGTATCCATTCTCGTATCGGATACCCTATAAATTTTACTAACACTTCTTTAGTTCCATCATCTCTAGTTCGTTTACGATAAATCTTTTCAATTCGATACTCAGTTTCTGCATCCTTTCTAACTCTAGCTAATTGTTCTTTGTAAAATGATCCTTTGATTCTATTACCCAAATTATTTTTTAATTTGTAAATTATTGGTTTTGAATGGCCTATAATTTTATCAACTTGCACAATTTCATCTCCCCAATTAGGAATATATCCTTTTTCGAACTGGCCTTTCTCAAAACTCTTTCTAACATAATCACCTTCCTTAAATTTCTTATAATTTTTATTAACAGATTTTGTAGAAAGAGCATTCCCGTATATTTTTTTCCAAACTTTTTGAGCGTTTTCAAAATTAATATCAATTGGGCGCATTCCATGAACTCTACATATTGAATGGTTAATTCCGTCAATAATTTGTACTAATACATCAATCCAATTCAATGATTTATTTTGTGAAAAATAGCGATAAAGTCTTTGTTTTAAATTCCGAATGGCACGTTCGGCAAGTGAGGCTTTTACTATTGAATGGGTTGCTTCTAATTTATGGATATCTTCTTGTTCAAAGTATTCATCAATTAATTTGTTCTTAAACTCTTTGCCTTTATCAGAAAATATTCTATATGGTATCATAGGCATTTGTTCAAAAAGTTTTTTAAAAGCTTCAATGACATCTTTAGCACCTTTTGTTTTTAAAGGAGTCGCGAATAATCTTTTCGAAAGAACATCGATTCCTAATAAAATATACCGATTCCCTTTATTATGTTGAGCTAAAGATTGCATGTCTGCTAAATCAACCTGCACATCAGTCATAAATCCTGAGGCTATTGTTCGTGCTCGTTTAAAATTTACTCTCCTTGGGCGCATTAAAGAATAGGTTCGGTGTCCTTCCAAAAAATGTTCAATAACATATCTTGGGATATGCTTATAAACTTTCTTCGCCTCATGCCATAGAGAATCAATACCACTATATGCTGCAGGTGAATTTGGATTATTATACAAGTTATTTAAAAGTTTCGTGTAATCAGCCATTTATTTTATTTAAATTACCAAAGTGAAGGTTTAAATTTATTTCTTTTTAATTCGTTACGTTTAGCATTTATAAGTCTTTCCATCCATTGTCTACCAGATTTTTCAGATTGTTTCTTTGAAACTGGTTTTCTCGGTCTTTTTTGTTCTAATGTTTCAATACCTTCCCATTTTCGTTTAAATTTTTTACGCGGTAAAAGCGGCGAAGGTGATCTTCCATCTCTAATGATTAATCGACCTTTTTTATTTATTTTATTTATACTTTCATCATTCTGCCGTAAATCATGCATTACAGAATGGTCAAGAGGGATTTTAAGTTTCTTGTTAGCTCTTATCCGTTCCAATAATTGTTTCCTTTTTTCGACTATTAAAATTTTTTCCCTTTCTTCATTACTAATTTTTCTTTTCTTTCTACCTTCAAAATTCTCGGATTGAACCCTTTTTGCAGCTAGAAGTGACGAAGGGGGAGAATTTACAAGAGGAGCGTCAATAGCCTCGTGGATATTATCATTTTTATTACTTTGCAAAGGGATATCTGTTCTGATATTTTTAACTCTCTTTTTCTTTTCATAATCTTTTTTCTTCTTTTCTCGTCTACTTGCAGATTCCTGTATAACCTTTTTATCGTCATTTAATTCACCGCGAAGATTTTCTTTAAATTTTTTACCCCTCATAATCTGACCATCATTGCCGGTCTCGCTTATTTTTCTCTTTGAAAGCACACGAAAAATAGGATGAGGAGGTGAAGGTCCCCTTTGTATTAACTTTTTCCGAGTTTGTAGTTTAGAGGAAGAAGATGAATTCGTAAGAGGTGGAACAATGTTATACAAAGGAAGCTGCGGATCTCTTGGAAGAGAGGACAAGTCATCAGATAACCAGTAATCGTCCTCGTTACCACGATCATTTGAAATATGTGAAGCAGGGGCTGTATTAGTAGTTTTTGGTACTATAACACCTTTTGAGTCTGTAACTAATTCAACTTTTACTGGTCTGTTTTCTCTTTCATTCCTAAGATGCAAATATTGTCTAAGTGTTTGATTATAATTGATATTTTTTGCATCCTTATGTTTTCCCTGATTAATTGAAAGATTGCGTCGAACAAAATCTAGATTTGGTTCCCCTATGTCATATTTTGTAAGACCTTTATAAATATCCTCGGGAACAAGAATAAATTTATTAGCCATTAAATGAAAATATATTAATTAATTAAAATGAAAATAATTATCAAAATAGATCGCTTTTTATAATATTTTTTCCTAGTTCTATAAGAATGGGAGTGAGAAGCGCAGCGAAAACACCTCCAATCCCATTTCCTCTCTGCAATAAAACCTTTCATGCGCCTCTCTCACTTCTAGATCGACCCAGCTGACGAATAAAATCTGCATATGGTAAGAGCCGTTTCTTCTGACGCACTGTAAGATTAAACCTTGATTTTAGAATATTCATACAAACTTCCACAATAGCGAGAAGATGATGGGATTGGGCTTTTTTAAGTAAACGACGTCTTTTTCTGTCAGATTTTGTCTTTGCAATACATTTAAGAAATTCGAAATTGTTATCAATTAAGGGACTAATAGTACAATGATTTTTAGTTACCATTTTTAGGAATGAATACTATTTTTTCTTCGTCATCGTTAAATATGTTTGTTCTTAAACGTAGTGTAGGATCAGAGGAGGCATGCATATCTATTAACAGATACCCATAAGGTATTTTTGTTGCTTGATGATAAGAATCAAGAAAATAATTTAGATTTTTTGGAAATAGCTGTACACCAATATTACGAATGGAAAGGGCAGAGTTGGGTGATCGCATTAAAATAATATATTGTGCATTTTGTCTAGCCACTTTTATCTTTTTCTCAAATAAATTTTGTGTGACAAAGACTATTCCAAAATTTTGGTGATGGGACTTTTTTGTAAAAAGTTCTGACAAATATTTTTCATCAATTGAAAGTAAAAGATCATCTAGAATTATTAGAGAAGGTTTGAGTAATTTACTTATGACATCTTCTGAGGGAACACCTGCATAGACACTAATACCAGATTTTTGAAGTATAGGAACGATTGAACTCATTTCTCCAAAGCAATAAAGAATACTTTTTGGCGTTGGGTGAATCAAATAATCAGTTTGGGAAATAAATTTTAAAAGAAATGTGCTTTTACCACTAGAACTTGGGCCTGAAATTATTAATCCAAAAGGCAATTTTAATTTAATATCTTTATTCAAAAAATTTATTAAATCCATTATAATTTTAAATTATTAATAAAATTAAACAGAAGTGGGGTAAATAATATCTTTTAAATTTTGTGCTAAAGTTGGTGAGTGAATTGGAATTTCTTCAATCAAAGGCTCACTTGTACTTCGTCTCTTTCTATTTTCTTCATTTACCTCTTCTATTGCTGGTTCCTCAGTTTTCACCTGTATTTCTAAAGGAAAAATTTCTTTTGATTTTTCAACATGATTTTGACTAAGGAAATGATCAATAGGAGTTGATACAGGAGTACTATGATTTATATTAACAACTCGCGCCTTATTTTTAATTTTGAAAAAACAATGACCTGGAAGTTCATAAATAGTATCGAAGGGTACGAATTGATTTCCCTTAACACGGTTACAGAAGATGGTGACACCTTCTTTTGTAACTATAAAATCAATTTCTACCTCTGTTGATTTACATTCACGGCAACGGCCTGGATGATTAAAAGGAATAAATCTCGGATTAGATAAGCGGTCAGAGGCAGAAATAGTAATTCCTGTAGGCGTAACATTAAAATCAACTTCAGGAAGAATTTGTTGGGAGAGCGATTTTTTGTCTTTTAAATTTAAGGCCATATTTTATAATGAAAAATTAAATGAATTTTTATTAAATGACCGTTGGATTTACATGATTTTATATTGACCTGATCCAGTTAACAATTTTTATGCCACGCCCCTTTAACTTTTGTTTTTGAAAAACATTTTTTATGATTTATGAGTTTGTAAAAAATAATTATGAAATAGATTTTGCAATTAAAAATATTTTGTTTTAACACTTTGATTGACAACGACAATTAAAATTTTCTTTCTTTTGATCCAATGACAAATTCCAATAAACATAAAAAGTGACAAGTACAGATTTTACTTGTAATTTTTTGATTTATGAGGTTTATGATAAGTGATTAATGATTAATTAAGACAACAATCATACCTTTAAGTTTTGCGCGACGATTCCCCCACAACCACTTGTAAACCCTTAGGGTTTCCCTCAAAACAGCTGTTAAAATCCTAATTTTCCTTTGGTTTTCCCTCCAACCCCTTCTTATCCTTTTGACTTTTCCTCCGACCATTTCACATCCTTTTGGTTTGTGCGGGAACGACGACGACGACAAAAGGCGGATGTAGACTACTGGGGTCTATTTTTAACATTAACACTTATCCTACTTTTAACACTATTAGACCGATAATAGTGAAGTAGAAGTACGCTGGGTCCACTCTAAAACCAAACCTAGGCGGCACATAAACAATTATAATCCCTAAGCAAGCTACAGGGTGCGTAAAAAGTCCTTGGCCACACTCTTTTGGGCATAAAAATTTATTCAAGTGGAATTTTGCCAAATAAACGATGGTCGCACAGTCATTTCACTTTTTTGGTCCCGGGCACGCTTTAATGAAGTTTTCAGATTTTCAATTATTTTTTATCTTTTCCGCCTAATCATTTGCTACAAAAGTGACCAAACATAATTTTCCAAAGGATTAAGATAAGGTGAGTTTGAAGGCCAAATAACAGCAACCCAAAAACGAGATACAAATTTTCACACAGCTGAATTTTTGTTTTTGCTCCATGAGCAGGTGACCAGTCTTGTCTAAGGCCGATATTAATTTTTTATGATTTTCTCAAATGTGTAAAATTTTGCAAATCTTTTTTAATTTTCTAATAACACACATTCTTGTGATTGTATGTGTGAATTTATTTGGCAAAATTCCACTTGAATAAATTTTTATGCCCAAAAGAGTGTGGGCAAGGACTTTTTACGCACCCTGTATTAGGTTGGCCAGACCCTAGCTAAACCTTTACCAATTACACCGGTGTGCTTCCTCTTTGGGGCAAATATTAAAGACTGGTTAACTGGGAACTGATTTATCGGTGAAACAATAAACAATATAAAACATAAGCATGTTAATGGGAGGTGTCACAGGAAATAGCGGTAAATAATGTAATTATAGTGTAATGGTTGGGAAAATCCATTAACACATAATGCTCGCCCATAAGATCACCATCTCTTAGGCAATCAACGGATATGCTACACAATAAAATTCATTGTAATGAAATGTTAGGTATTCCATGGATAATTTTATATATCCAGAATTGACTATATGTACATAAAATATATTTATTCGGATATAGTGTAGTTCACCAGAGGTAAAAGTTCGGGACGAGACATATGTCATTCGATTCGTCTCGGGAGCTGAGTCGAACGATACCACTCCCAATTTCTGGAAATAATTCTGGACCGAGTTATAGGTCCCGAAAAATCGAAAAACCAAAGGGGGACCAAGCACTTTTTTGGGGTGAAAAATTCGAATATGCAAATTATACCTCATTCGAAAGAGCTCGTCGAGCTGAGTCGAAAGACACCAAAATCACCGTGATTGAACAAGATTAGACAAAGTTATGATACAAAAACAAAAAAACCTAAACCTATGGGGCGTCGGCGAGGCGCTTGTGCAAAACCTCGCGCTTTGCGCGAGGTTTTGCGGCACGCGCCTCGCGGGGAGTCTACGGGCGCTGGGTCTGGGCTCGTAACATAAACCTATTCCCATCTCCCTTACTCTGGACGTAGCTGGGGCCTGCGAAGCAACAAAAATCTCCACGGAACCATAGGTAAGGAGCTAAAACAAATGACCATAACTTTGTCAAATCAGTCAGACTTCGTTGATTTTGGTGTCATTCGACTCAGCTCGACGAGCTCTTTCGAATGAGGTATAATTTGCATATTCGAATTTTTCACCCCAAAAAATGCTTGGTCCCCCCTTTGGTTTTTCGATTTTTCGGGACCTATAACTCGGTCCAGAATCATTTCCTGAAATTGGGAGTGGTACCGTTCGACTCAGCTCGCCGAGACGAATCGAATGACATATGTCTCGTCCCGAACTTTTACCTCCGGTGAACTACACTACAGCCATTTATTCTAACACCAAAAATCACAGCCGATAATTAAATTAAAAAATAATTAATCAAAAATAAATTTTTCCCTTTATTAGGCACCTTTTGAATTAGCAGAATTTGAATGTTTAACAGTTAACGCTTCCAATCTCCCACTTATTTCTGCTTTTAATCCTTCAATTGGATCTTGAAAAACTCCAAAATTTTCGCAAACTAGAAGGCCTTAAATTTTAAAAATTTTTTTAATTTTTCCAAAAAATTTTTTTCTAACAATTTTTTAGCGATTCTTGTATAACTTCCGCTAGTAAATCACTACAAGCATTTTCTTCCAAAAATTGGTCCATTAAATCAAAAAGGCGTAGGAACAAATCGGGGAAGGATTTTAAACTATTTTTAAAAAATATTTAAAATAATTTTTTTGAAACACCTCGTAATTTTTGTAAGATTCCCCAAAAGTACTTTACACGCAAGTTGAATCGCTCGAATTCTAGCCTCTTCCATTCCAATTGGATCCATAGGGGAAATTGGTGGGCTACTTAATAATTGGTAATAAACAATATAATTTAGTTAGAAACCTCTATATAACGCACATGACTCTTCGGAGTCTATTATAGACCATTTTACAGGGTGACATAAAAGAAACTGCACACTATACAATTAACCATAACTTTTTTTACTTTAAATTTTTCAATATTTGCGCCTTGAACACTGTATCCGAGCACAGGGTAGGTATTTCGAAAATTCTTAATTGTATTTTTCCCCAGTCATTTCTCTATTATTTAAGCCTTATTTAATCTCAATATCTTCAATTTGAATATAGTTATTTCAAAAATACTGTGTGCAGTTTCTTTTATGTCACCCTGTAAGGTCTGATCTAATCCCAGACATGTCTTCCCACGAAGGCCGGGGATTAAAGCCTTCCCTCAAATGTCATTGATATGTTAAACCTCATTAAACTCTCCAACCTTGTTGAACGTTAAAAAATTTTGAAGGGGCCCAGATATAGGAGAAATAAATAATATAGAGGTTCGAAAGTTCATTTTTGAGATAAAAATAATTTTTACCCAGTAAGTAATCGACCCAGCAAAGGGAAGAGAACTTCAGCAAAGCAATCTTCCCAATCGGCAGGGATCATAAGTTCACCCAATGCAGGTACTCGAAATGCAGTCTAAAAAGAACAAATAACTTGATGTCTTAACTAAATATAAGAAAAATGCCAAACGATAATGCACAGAGCCGGGCACTATTTATAATTTAATAATTTCTCCCTATAATTACCCCTAAAGCCTCCAATGCCTGTTTTCTTATTAATCGTCTACAATCACAAGCCATTCTAGCAATTGCTTGCATTAATGGCCTCCAATATTTTGACCATAATTCTGTCGTTTTTGTAGTTGTTTCATCAATTTTTACATTTTCATTTGTTTCAGACCAGTCTTTGTAAATGTTTGCTGCTCTAGCTTGGAGTTGTGCACAGATGTTTAATAACTTTAAACAATATATTCAAAAAAATTTTATTTTAATTTTTAAATATTTTGAGAAAATCGAGGTTGATTATACCCTAGAGAAGGGGCCAAAAAATGTCAGAAATACATACCGTATTTTCTCGATTAATTCCCCTGGGGAATTATTTTTCAACCCTTCCATGACATGGGGAATTAATCGAGGGTTGTGAATTATTCGAGTTTTGGCATTTGAACGTTCAGTAGGGTATTTCGAGGTGGACAATTATTGTTTCAACCCAACCCTGGCACGGGGAATTAACCAAGAGGGGGAATTATTCGAGGGAGGAGAATTAATCGAGAAAATACGGTAATCAAGGTTTGGATAAGGGGCAAAAAATAAGGGTAAAGTTGTTTAATTTAGAGAAGCAATCAACTAAGAGTGACACCAACATGCTTATCGAGAAGCACATTTCGAATCTTATTATTCGGCTTGTAATGTATCCCATGCATTTTCGGTTCAAAGAAACGTTAGATTGAGAGTGAAACCGCTATAAAGATGAAAAGGCCTAGGTATACCACAAAATTTGGGAAAGAATGTTTGAGAAAAGTTTTCACTTGCAAAGAGGCATCAACATAACAATTAGCTAATTTTTCTTGATCACTCATTTTCTCTTCCGATTCAGTTAAATCCCCACTAACATCTTCATTTGTTTTGCGTTGTTTTTGGGAATTTTCATGGGGAACAAGAAATTGTTTTGAAGTATTTGAAGAGGAATTCCCGGTTTGTTTATTTGGAGAAGTGGGGGAAGTTATAATTAATGACTGGATAGGTGTTGTGTATCTGGAAATGTGAAAATATTTTGAGAAATCTAGACAAGGGCGCAGCTAGGGGGTTCTTCTGAGGCTAACCCCACCCCGAAATGGGGAAAGGGAAAAAATTTGAGGAGAGGATCAAAAAAGTGCAATTTTTCGCCTATGACCGTCCAAATTCTTAAAATTTTCTCCTGCGGCAATAAAAATGGAAAAAAATTTTGCCCCTTGAAATCGACCCACTGGCTACGCCCTTGGAATCTAGATATGGTGTCAATATCAGAACTAAGGATGGAACGCGTTACGGGAACCACAAGACCCGATTTTTCTAACTCAGACCCACCCCTTGTCAGAATCACCAAATCAAGCCCCAACATAATGAGAGTAAGAGCGAGGTAAAAGTTTAATCCCGGCAGGCTTCGATCCTGCGACCTCCTGGCAGTTATTGCTAGGCGCTTTCGCTTACCACGCAATGTGGGGAGAAGGCCAGTGTACCGCCGAGCTATAACTTCGAATACCCCCTGTATGGTTCGATACGGATCGACCAGCTAAATCGTACCAACCGGGCGCCACGGATTCGACAATTTTGAACAAAGTTATAGCTCGGCGGTTTATTGAGCTCGCGGTACATCGGGGTGTACCCGTATTGGGTGTAACCGTACCTTCTCTTTTAACTTAAACCCCCGCCTAGTGAGCGTTTAAATGCTAGCCAGCTGGATCTTTCTCTTCCTTACACGAGGAGAATTAAAAACAAACTTTCCCCCATCCATACTAGCTTCTACCATCATTCTTAAACAATGAATAAATAATCCAAAATTTTCAGGAGTAATATGGGCAGCATCTCTCCCTAAAAATCCAAGTGTTTCGACAACTTTGAGGAATGCTGCAGAGTCGTGACGGGATAAATTTGGGGCTAATACAATTGTTCCACGTTTGTATAGAGAAGAGCCACTTGCAAAGGTTGATGATTTGTCCGAAGGTGGGGGTTGCTGTAAAGGTTGTTGAGAGGAAGTTAACGGAGCTGGAGGAGAAGAAGATACTGGATGGATGATCTAAAAATTTTTGATTTAAATTTAGTGTTGTTCACAATCGTTAATTTTTCCCTTAAACGGCTCAAATGCTCTTATTCTTCTCTATATGAACCGCCACGGGGAAAGTGAATAACCTTAATTTAAATAATAAAGTATTAAGAGTGTTTGTTATAAAAAAAGGGTTTTTAATTGCAAAAACCTTTATTTTATAAGTGATAGGTATATTGTTAGAAGGGGCTGTTTTCAGGCACCCAAAGATCAAAAATTTTGAGATTATTGTTTAGAGAAAGCTTATAAGTTTTTATAACCATATTTCACAAGGCTCTTATATGTACTATTCTAAGAAAACCCTCAAACTTTTTAATCAGAGTTGTTTCGAAACAAAAAAATCTTCGAATATAAAATAGCCAAAAAGTTGAAACTGAAAGAAAAGCCCTAGAAGATCAAAATTTCGAAATAGCTGTTTCTAAAGCCTCGACCCAAAACAAATTTCAAAAAATTAATTAGAAGTAATTTACATCCACCAAATCAAAATCATCATCTTGATAAGCAGCAGCCCCGACAGCTTCCAAAATAGAGAAAAACATTGCCCAATGTTCAGCGCTATGTACATTCGCTGCATTTGCTCTTAATAATTGTTGAAGACCATTTGAAATTTGTTGGGAAAATAAAAGTAAATCAGAAGGTCTTAATTCTAAAATTTTTCGGGCCATAAATTGAAGAACATCATCGGCACAGCAATTGGTTTTGTGTTGAATTGTTTGGGAAGCTTATATAAAATGAATAAGTTGACTAGAGGAAACAAAATAATAAGGCAAGAGGTAAACGTTTAGCCCCGAGCAGTCATGATCCTACAACCTTCGCTTCAGTTATTGCTAAGTACCTCGCTCAACACGTACACAGGTGCTCTACCGACTAAACTACTGGGGTTTCACCAAAATAATAAAGCAAGAGGTAAACGTTTAGCCCCGAGCAGTCATTGATCCTGCGACCTCCTGCTTCAGTCATTAATCCCGTACTTAAGCTCACTACGTACAGGTACTCTACCGACTAAACTACTGAGGCTCTCCTTTCACCTTCACTTTTTAGTAGGTACCCCCCCTCAGTAAACGTTTTAAATACTGAGGTTGTCGGATCCAGGTTCGAAAAAAGACCGGATATCCGGAACGGTTCGGATATCGGATCCGGATATCCGAAGATTTTCAACTATCCAACAACCTTATTGAATACTAGACAGCTGGATCTCCCTTTTTCCTTACATAACCAGAAATTCATTAAAAATTCCTATACCCGTTTAAAAATCCTACATCAAAATACATCTATCAACCTAATCATTACATTTTTAGGTAGATAAATAGGGTTGGGTTTTCGAGTCGGGCCGACGTTCGAGTTATTCTTTTCGGGCCTCATTTTTTCGGGCCGGCCCGAACGAGTCTTTTTCGGGCCAAAATTCAATGCCCGACTCGATCTTTTGGACCGGGTCGGATCGGGCCCCCAACCCTATTGATAAATATCTAATCCCATTAAACAATCTACCAACCATTCTCTTGTTGTGTTTGTTCATCTTCCACAACAATAACCACACTTTTAGTCAACGCCGTCCGGGGTGCAGAAGGTAATGTTGGGGGTGGTGGCGGAGTTTTTACATTTTGTTGTGGATGACCAAGACGGAAAAGATTTCTATTAGCAATTCGAATTAATGCAATAATTGATCTTTCAGTTATTTGTTTGTTTTGGGCAAAATCAGGGCTAAGTAGCCATTGAAGATGATCACGGACTAAAGGCCAAACTTGTGCTAAACGATCGCGGTTTTCGAGAACAATGTTTATCTATAAAATAAATTGAAAGAACCAAAAAAATTAAACAGAGGATTGAGGTTGGCCTTACTAAGGAAGGGTAAAGTGTAATACTAACCAACATGGGGATTTGGAAATTTGGGTTGAAAACTAGGGTTGGACAAAACCGTTTAATGTTGAAAAAACCGTATACCGTTTATCTGAGACCCGTATACCGTTCCGTTTAATTTTGCCAAAAAACCCGTTTACAATATACCGTTTAGTTAAACGGTTTTATTCAACCCTATTAAGAACTCTCAACAAATAAAAATTTTTAATAAGGAAAGTCAAATTTAATAAAGAAATTTGTCGGGTTTCCAGATTGAGAATAATTCATCTAGAATGTTCAATAATCCAAGTAACCTCAAGATGAGTTCCGATACAGGAAATAGAGGTTAAAACATAATGGTCTCAAAAACAAATTTAAGTGTTAAACCTAGCTGTTAGCTACCAGTTAATTTTTCCCTATGGACAGCTCAAATAGGGAAAGGGAAAAATTGACCGGTCGCCAATAACCCTAGGTCAAACTTTGAATGGTGACCGCACAAGTATTTGAACAAATATCTGCGAAAGGTTAGCCTCTATCCCCAAAAAAAATTTCTTTTTTGCCTCACCATCAATTCCAATAGAAAAATCAAAGCTTCTTCTTCATCCAAAGTTAATTTTATTGGAGAATATTGATAAATTAAATTTTGTTGTTGAATAATTGGGTGTTGTTCTTCCCCAGATTTTTTATCTTCATTAATTGAAAGGGAGGATTGGGAAAGTAATTGAGGGGGAAGAGGTGGGGGAGGAGGGGATTTTGAAGGGGAATTTAATGGAGATATTTTGCTATTTTCTGGAATTTGTTTTTCTAAAATTTGTTGTTCTTCAGGTAATAAAGCTGCGGCAGCTGAACTTAAGTCGACAATAGAATCATCGTCTAAAAATAAATTAAATTTTGTTTCTTATTGAAGAGGAATATAGGTAATATCTAAAAAAATTTTCAGGGGAATTTGGGGATAAATAAAAAAAACGGCTCTTGTCCAGTTTATGCGTCACATAAAAAACTGAAAAAATTAGAAAAAATATTCGAAAATTAAAAAATAACATTTAATTTTTTATTATATAAAGCCTAGCTCAAGGGCCGCGTGTGCTGAGTCGCATAGATCGTAATGGGAAGCAAAAATCTTCATGGGACACATAAACTGGACAAGAGCCAAAAAACACTAATTGATATGTAAATTAAAAGAAAAATTAATTTAAATATCCAGATTTGAAACTAGTGTAAAGCACCTAGCTATTTAATTCCTAAGGCTTTGCAGTGGCTTAGAGTAATGGATAACACATCAGTCCGGTCTACTGAAAACGCTGGTTCGCTCCCAGCCGCCGAATAACCTTTTGCACTAGCTAAAGGAGAGAAATAGCTATAGCCCGGCTGCTTTACTCTAGTATAGTCGTCAGGCAGAAAAAGATCATCCATCAATTATAAACCTCCCCCAAAAATCAAAAAAAATTTAAAAAGCACCTTGACTTTGACTTCCCTGACTTTCATAATTTTGAACAACTTGTTCATTATTTAACTCAATTTGTTGTGTTTTTGATTGAATCGGGGCTATAGCAAAAGAACAATGGATGATATTATTTATTAATTCAGTAAATGCCGAAGTGGTTAAGTAACGACTGTCGGTTATTAATTGTTCTGGATGGCATTCAGAAATTAATGAAATTGCTGACTGAAAATATTTTTAAAGAATTTTTTTTGTTAAAATTAAGGAAAGAAGGTCCAAACCCAATGCAAAAATCCGTAAAAAATTACGCAAAAATTTTGCGGACAATTTTTGCGGATTTTTTAATGTAGAATTTTTGGTGGTGATTTTCCGAATTTTAATTGCCCACTATTTACTATGAAAATGGGAGGAGACAACAGTAGGTACCGAAAAATTAGAAAAAAATAAAAATTCGGAAATTCATAAATTCTGATAAAATTTTAATAAAACTTGGTAAAAATTAGGAAAATTTACTAAATTTGCGGACAATTTTTGCGGACTTTTTAAATCTAGACTTTTAGTATTCAGCACTCTTCCCAGTTATATTAAATGGAAATTATTTACTTTAAGGCTAATACAAAAAAGTTAAAGAAAAGTCCTGTTAGGTATTGTTCTAGTATAAAAGCCTTCCTATTATTCAGTCGGGGTCTTAGTCTTATTGTCGCAGTGTTATTCTATTCTGTCTCAACATATTCGGCGCTTAGCCATATTTCTATTGTACGCAACCTATTGTGTTTAATATTGTAGATAAAGCACAGTTTGTTAGTTACTATCTTATCTTGTTATTCTTTGTTAGTCCGTAAGTCCGCAAAAAATGTCCGCATTTTTTTGCGGACATTTTTTGCACATCCCTTCCCCCCAACAAACATTGCATAATTGTTGTTCTTCTTCATTTATTTGTTTTTTATTTAAATCAGTTTCACTAGAAATTGAAGAAACACTTAACCCCAACCAACTAAACAATCCACTCTCTTCTTTTTTTGGCAAAATCTGTGGACGTTTAAACTTTTCTTTAATTGTCACAATTCCTCTAATATCCACAAAATCTTCCAATTCCAATAATTTTTGTGGAAGTAAATTGGCACGTAATAAATAAATTAAACAATCCAACACGTTTTTCCAACCCTTTAAAAAATTTTTTTTTGATTTTTAAAATTTTCGTGGTTTTACGGAAAATCCGCAATTTTTTGCGGATAAAACCTGCAGAGAAAAATACAAAAACAAAAATTGTATTTATAAAAGTATTTTATAGCTTCGGTTAATTCGTTTTTTGAAAGTAAATCAATGAAAAATTTGGGATGGCTAACTCAAGAAATTCCAACTCACGGAATAGACAAAACGCGGAACAGACAAGTCACGAAATTACCAAAGTACGGAACGACCAACTCAACTAATACACGGAATATTTTAAAAATCAGAATATTTTATCATAATTTTTTAAAAATATTCAGATCTTTCAAAAAATTCCGACGTTTAAATTTTTCCGTGTTTTGGTTGAGTTGGTCGTTCCGTGCTTTGGTAATTCTGGAACTTGTCCGTTCCGTGAGTTACCCTACACGAAACAATTTATCTAAACTTTTAGTTCAGTTAGCCAAAGTTCATTTTTATTTTTTTTGTGAATTTTGAAGAAAAAAGGGGAGCCAGGATATTCACAGCTAATTTAATTTTAAGAAAACTAAGCAAGTTTAAATATCAGAAAATTCAACAAAAAACCTCTCTCAAATTATCCCCATAATTATGCACTAATTCAAACAAAGCTCTAGCTGCCATTTGTGCCTTTTTATTTCTAGCAAAATTAATTGACAAACTTTCAGAAGTCGAATCAGAGAAGGCTTTAAAAAGGAAAAAAATTTCGACAAAAATTCGTTTAAAATAAAAAATACAATTTAAATTAAGTGTAGAAATGGGTGCACTTGTAGCCCTAAGAGGGGGTGATAATGGACTTGTAGCTGAACTCATAATTTATTAAATTTTTATCTGAAAAAAATTTTTTTTTAATTGTTAAAAGTTGAACAGAAAAATAGAAAAAAATTTAAGAAAAAAGGAAAAATAAACAACAAACATTCCAGCCTTTCTTTAAAAAAAAGAAAATAATATAAGAGAGACAACTAAAAAATTAGAGAGACAGAGAAAAAGACAAATTTTTGCAACGTTTATTTGGCAAAACGGCGCGCGGCAATAACGGCGCAAAACCATAACTTGTTGGAATATATCTGGCCCTTATCAATTTTGGTTCCAATCTCTCTAGCTCGATGAGAGGAATCGTTTAATAATAAATTTGATAAGATTAGGAAATCTTGAAGTAAGTTATGGCTTTGCGCCTTTATGGCCCGCGCCGTTTTAGGTGTGTCGCATTTAAGGACGATTAAGCCAACAAAAAAAATTTCAAAAAGCAATCCAAACCAACGTTTAAATGGCATGCTCGCAAGTGCTGTCTGAACACTGTGACCAAGCGGCAGGTTTTGTCTGCTCCCTTTCGGGCCTGAACCGTTGCCCTGCTCTTTAAACAACCAGGAGCACTAACGTTCCCGCTAGCGCCCCTTGTTGACTTGGCCCTTGCTCTAGACACTCGCTCTGTGCACACCCGTTAATTGGTGCTTTTGCCTCCTAGAAACTGGATCACAAGCGCCCGCCACGACGCTCGGCGAAAACGAATTAAATTTTATCGTTCATATACTGAGCACAAAATTGTCGGTACACCTCAATTGAGTCCCGACTCAATTGAGTCCCGGACCCTATAACTTATGAAGGGACGGTCACTTTTTGTTACTCTTTGTACCATTAGATAGGGCATTAAATAGGCTACAATATACCAAAAAATCAAAATCCCTGCCCGACTGGTAAAAAAGTTATGATCGATAAAGTGCCGAAAAATCAGATTTTTTTGAAAAAGTTAGTTTTTAAATCATAACTTTTTTATCAATCGGTCAAAAATTCTGATTTTTTGATATTTTATAGAGCTTTTGATTCTCTATCCAATGATACCAAGAACATGAAAAAGTGACCATTCCTTGATAAGTTATAGGGCCGGGACTCAATTGAGCCGGGACTCAGTTGAACTGCTCCGCAAAATTGTTAAAGTCGAGGGTCATTAGAGTATTACTCTTAATAAAATTATACAGGGTGCTTTTCCGCCACTTTTGTTTTTTCCATAACTTTCTTCAAAGTCGATGAAAATTGATAATTCTTTTTTTATTTTATTCCCAACACTCTAAGCACATTTTTGGCACTAATAGAAATTTGGTTCAAAGACAATAAAGATATACCCGTCTGAAGATCTAAATAATCGCATCAAAAAATATTTTTTCATGCCAAAGTTAACTTTACATAACTTCGTTCAAAGTAGAGTACGTCCGAGTCGAGCGAGTTCGAGTTTACTCGACTCGATCGCTCGGGTTTTTTGCGTCATTACTCCTCTTTGGATTAATTAATGGGGAGGGGGTAATCGTTTGAGTTTAATACTTTGAGGAAAGAAAAAGGAGTGGGGGGTACGAACCCAAGAATTACAGAAAATAGGAACCCTCTTAATAAAAAAACCCTCTTAATACCAAAAAATCTCAACTTTAATACACTCTGTTCCAAAAGTATATGCCCACCTATATTTTTAGCTTTATCTATGTGATTTCGCTATAGATTTTTCTTAAATTTTTTATGATTAGATAACATGACATTTAGAAACAAAATACAAACAAATTCAGAAATATGTGTTTTTGTTTTTTGTATAGAGATCAAAATCAAATATTAAGTGTTCCATAAGTATATGCCCACCTTTGTTTTATAGGTTTTTGATAGTGGAAAAAATCCACAAAAATTTTTGTGAACATATCTATCAATATAGATAAGAAATCCAAAAGAAATGAATATCTGATGTACTTCCATTATCGAGATCTTGAAACACGAGAATTAACGGAAAACCGGGGGTAGACGTCTTTAAAACATATTTTCGACCCGTTTCAGGTAAAATAAAAATTTTATTTTGGGCTTATTAAATTTTGGGGCACTATTTATTTTGGGCACTGTTAAAAACCTATAAAACAAAGGTGGGCATATACTTATGGAACACTTAATATTTGATTTTGATCTCTATACAAAAAACAAAAACACATATTTCTGAATTTTTTTGTATTTTGTTTCTAAATGTCATGTTATCTAATCATATTTAATTTATTTTTTTTGTATGACCTTTTTTTGTATTACTTTCATTTGTATTTTTTTTCACCACTATAATTGCGCAAATGCGCTAGTGGTTTGCTCAAATAAATAAAAAATAAAAAATTTAAGAAAAATCTATAGCGAAATCACATAGATAAAGCTAAAAAAATAGGTGGGCATTTACTTTTGGAACAGAGTGTATATCCCTCTAACTCCACTTTATCGCTTCAATTCTCTGATACTTAAGTCGCTGTTATCCTTAATATTTATCACGAAAGAAAAGATAAATTAAAAAAAACAAAAGAAAAAAGTACATAGTATATTTTATTTTTAAAAATCATTCATTTTTAATCAGTTTTATTCAAAAAATTTTCAAAAAAGTCTGACAATTTATAGCAAGTTGCACCCATTGAATAATGCTTAATTTGACGAGAAAGCATTAACCTAAGTGCACATTCATTTTCAATACTACGATTAATTAGTCGGCTACATTCAGCCAATCTTTGAGCCCCTTCAATTAAACCTAATCTTCGTTGATTATATCGAAGTAAAATACTTGTATATCTATTGAATTCGTCAAAAAGCAATTCTTTTCCTTCAACAGACAAGTCTTTAGCATCTTTTTATGAAAAAATTTAGGTTTACTTAAATTAAGTTTTAAAAAAAATGTCAAAGTGCCTATAGAAAGAGTTTGCAAAAGTTTAGCCACCGTGCAGGATTCCTGCGACCACCTGCTAGTTATTGCTAAGCGCTTTCGCTCACCATATACAGGAGCTCTACCTCTGAGTTACCGGGGCATCGACTAATGCTTTCTCTTTTTCCTTTTTTAGATCGTTTAACCTCCGCCTAAGCGTTGTAAATGCTGCTAGTTGAATCATCCTTACACTATTAAATACCAGTGCTGTCCGAAATTGCGTATGTGGATTGCCGTAAATGATTGAGTTTTTTGAATTGTAATATTTCTTAATATAACGCACCAAAAACGGAGGAAATCCGGACTATTAACATTCGAAATTTTCAAAATTTTCGCTTGCAGAGCTAAATGTACGTTTTAAACTTAAAGGGAGTTTTAAAGAATTTAGCGTGATATATTGGGATCAAGAATGTTTTAGTTAGATATCGTGGATGCGAAGGGATAAAAGAATAGCGGATTTTTATTGTGCTTATTGTGGATTTGGAGTGACTGGGATCCCGTCTCGCTCAACTCTAATTTAAGATATCTATGCAAAATTTTAAGTAACATTTATCTAAATAATAGGGAGGTCAATCAAAACTTACCGTATATGCTGAAATAATTACCCTGGAAATTATTTTTTCCATCTCCCGCTGAAGGTCGTAATTATTTGAGAGGGAGAACTCTCTCTCTCTTGATTTCAGCATATACGGTATTCGCCTTGACAAATTAAAATTTTTACTTGATTTTGTAAAAATAATAGCTATTAACAAAGCAAATTCAATTTTTGTTAATGCAGCACGTTTAAAATGGGCAACAGATTTTGTAAATGAGTAATCTGACCATTTAATCATTCTAAAAATAAAAAAAATGTTTGTCTTATCTTCTCAATCAAAAATTTTTCTTGAAATTTTTTTTTGAATTTTCTTAACAAAAATTTATTTACTTATCATCATCATGTAAAAATACATTATTCCTCATAAAACCGAGAGCAGGCATAACACAATCTTTACGTTTCCAAGTTTCAGAACCTAATTCCCAAGCTAAGTATGAGCTTGTAAATGATGTAAACAAATAAGAAATATGTCTTAGATGCGCGATCTATTTTATAAAATATAAAAATAATTTTTTTTATTAATCGAGCTTTCTTTTTCTCCTTTTGTCATTTAAATTAGAGACATGGGGCCTATTTCTCCCCTCCACAGATTCTGTGGATAGAATTCTGTGCACAGACCACAGAATTTCAATTTCTGCACTTCCACAGATTCTGCGGAAAAAGGGGTCCGCAGATTCTGCATAAACATCCACAGAATCTGTGGAAACATTCACAAATTCTGCAAAACATACAAAAACATGCAAAAACCACAGAAAACTACCGTATATGCTCGAATAATTACCCTGGGTAATTATTGTTTCGACCTCTCGCTGGAGGGGGTAATTAATCGAGAGGATGGGCTAAATTTGGTGTATATCTCAATAAATCGAAGAGGAAATCCATTTATTTTTTGATATTGATTCTTATAATGTTTCAATAAACAAAATGGACAATGATTTTTTCAATATTTTTAAAATTAAAGAAGGAAAGGGTGGGGGTAATTATTAAAGAGGGTAATTATTTGAGAGAGGGTAATTATTCGAGCATTTACGGTAATTGCAGTTTTCTGCATCCACAGAAAAATATCCGCAGTTCTTTGGCTTTTTTGTCGATTCTGTGCATTTATATTTCTGCGCTTTTCTGCGGTTTTTAAAACTGTGGAAAATTAATCACCCTTATCATTAATCACCCCATATCCCCATTAATCCCTCAAATCTGTTGAATTTTTATGTTATTATAAATTAGATAAAAATTTTGCCTTTTTATGAATTTTTTAAACTTAGTTTTAGATAAGGCCGAAAACGACGGTTCAGCCCCGAGGATTTGTGGGGATTAAGATGGGTATCAAGGAATTTCACAGACATCTGACTTCACAATATCTTTCAAATCTCGCTAAATTACTCCAAATCTCCTGATATCCTCTATATTTATCGATTAAAAATGCTTATGAGAAAATCGAAGAATCCCGGCCTGATCTCGCTAAATATGAGAACGTGATTACTCGAATTGCGGGATTTATGTAATTAATCCAGGGACCCT